AAAATGAGATTAACAGGAAATTCTGCTTTTCCCCAGCACCACAGGCACGGGAAATTCAGGGTTGAGCCAGATTAATTCCAGGTGAATGTGCTCCATGACACAGAGCACCTGAACATCCTTTAACACCAGATTAATCCCACCGGGATCATCATCAAATTTCTTCTTAATTATCCTTTAATGATGGGAAAAGGGGAGAGAAGTTTCATTCATCATGGGGGATCCTTACAGAGTTTTAAGGGATGAAGTTCTTTGTGTTAAAAATATTTTTGTTTATTCCTGTCCCCTCAAAGGCAGGTATGAGACGATTCAGATTTTCGTTTTCATTCACAGAACCAGGTTGGTTGGGAGATAAAATCTGGATTTTTCTCCAGACAGGGTTTGGGTTGCTCAGGGCAATGTCTGAGCATCTCCAAGGATGGATGTTCCACAATCTTTTTTTTGGACAATTTGATTCTACTCTACGAAGCAGCAGTTTTCCAAAAATCTGTTTCAATTAGCGGAATCACAAGTAATCACATAACAGCAATTACTCCACTGGCAGCTCTAAAAATAATCTGGCTGAAGCTGATTAACACTTCAGTGTGAATCTTTAATGAAGAATTCCAACTTCAGGGATTTTACAGCTGAGCCTTCAGCCACCTTCCCAAAACCACACTGAATTTACAGGGATAAACACTGGAATAGAATGGATTTTTTTTTTTTTCTGGAAATGAGCAAGAGGGGAGGAGAGAAATCCCTTCGATGAGCAGAGGAACACCAGGATCTGCGGGAAAGGCTCAGGTGTCGTGGGCACCCTGCAGGGCTGCAGGAATTGTGTGTGTGCCATCATCATCATCATATCATCATCATCTCATCATCATATCATCATATCATCTCATCATCATCATCATATCATGATATCATCATCATCATCTCATCATCATCATCTCATCATCATGATATCATCTCATCATCATCATCATATCATGATATCATCATCATCATCTCATCATCATCACGATATCATCATCATCTCATCATCCTCATCATCTCATCATCATGATATCATCATCATCATCTCATCATCATCACGATATCCTCATCCTCATCATATCATCATCATCTCATCATCATCATCATCTCATCATCATCATCTCATCATCATCACGATATCCTCATCATCATCTCATCATCATCTCATCATCATATCATCATCATGATACCATCATCATCATCATCATCTCATCATCATCTCATCATCATCTCATCATCATGATATCATCATCATCATCTCATCATCATATCACCATCATCATCTCATCCTCATCCCCTCTCCTCCTCCTCCAGCCTCATCCAATCACTGCTCCAAACCCCACAGACCCACGGCACAACCGGTGCTCTCCTTTTATATTTTCTATTTTTTTTTTTTTTAAGGTTTTTATTCCCAGCTCCCACATGAAGCTGTCACAAATGGGGATGAGCACAATGCCCACAGCTGTGACAGGAGTGACACAAATGTGGAGAAAATCCCTCTTCAAATCCCTCTCCAAACAAAGGACGTGCAGCTCCATTTCAAACAAGCTCCTTCTTGGCGTTTTTATAGAAATCCTAGCAAGAAACCGCTGTGGGAAAGTCACCTTTCCCCACGCAGGTGACAAACACATCAAAAAAAAAAAAAAAAA